ACCTTCCAGTATTTTTTAATTTAACTGTCGCCCGCGGCTGCTCACGCGCGCGCTCGCGCTCACGAATCTAGATGAATACTTTGCATCGATATTAAAATTCTTTCGAAGCGCTTCCAGACTTTGCTAACTGTAACAGCTTCGTTGTCATCAAAGACCTTTCCAGTCTCTTTTCATATTCAAAAAGAGACGTTAAAAACAGCTACCCATTTTTTTTCCTTTCAACTGGGAGTTACTGTCCGAAACTTGATTTTTCGATATTAATTCGTTTTCTTTCGAATAGGAAATCGATCGCTTCCTGACTACCTGTTCTTAGTACGAATACGTGGTAACGTTGTCGCGTTTCTCGGAGAGGTAATATTATAGAAATCGAACATGGTTCGATTCGAGCGGATTATAGGATGTTTTCCTGCAAAAGGAATTTCACTTTCGATCGATCGAAATTACTCGTAACGGACTAAATAGCCGATTTAACGGGCCGTGTCGTATTCGAGCATGACCGTTCGACCGCTAAAAAACACGCGAAACGTTCTGTTTCCTATCTAAAACATCGTCCTGGCCTCGCTCGCAAACAGCCCGCGCTTTTTCCATGGACGAAACAACACATGGTAATCGAGCAAATGAAAACTCGCCGAGCGAACGAAAGAAACAACGGGAACGGAAACGGGACAGGTTGAGTGGATGTGGTTCCATTCGATCGCATTCGTCGCGCCGTTTCGACGAAAATAAAAAAAAAAAGAGGGAACAACGAAACTCCGAACAACACGGAAAAAAGAAAAAGAGAGGAGAGATGCTGCTGTTTCGCTGCCATTTCCATGGGAATTGAGCACTTCGAGAGTCAGCAGCCTCTCCAAACCGGCTTCGAGTTACTCGACAACTCGATTCGCGTTTTACTCGTCACGGGCTAGTTTCAGTCCGAATAAAAGACAAAACAATTGGAGATACGCGAAAGATTACTAACGCCGAAAAATAACGCGGTTCTCGTATAATCGACCCGAATCTTCTCGACACGTTTGCACATACGTTTTCGTCGGCCAATTACTTTCACCATTTTTTTACAAACAACCGTATCTTTTAACTCGATACTTCGTATCGTTTCTTTCGATTTTCTTCTAAATATTTAAATTAATACGAATACTAAATTACCTTTACAAGATATTTAATAATTCACTTGTACCGATGCACGGATCGGATCTCAATAATTAACTGGTTTAGCGCCGATCACCGGCAAACGGTATAACAATTAAAGCGTTAAGTTAAGCGATGAACTATGAGCGACATGGAAAGGCGATTTAAACGATGACTTCGAATGAACGGATAGATGCTTCTAAACTGACTAGTTATGAATGATAGACGTCGAACGATGAATTTACGATCAAGATTGATAGAGACGCAACGCTTCGCTATTTCGATTTCTTAAGTGTTACCAAAATATCTGAAATTCTGTAAACGTTACGAAGAACAGATTTCACGAAGATGTACGTTTTATTATTAATTTTCCAAAGCACTTAATCGCGTTGAACGGAAGAACATTGGAGGAAACTCGATTGTTCGTGTAAATTTCCAAATTGCTTGTCGTTCGATATAGAGAAGCTTTCCACGGTTTTCAACAAAATTCTATCAACTTTTGCGTGAACGTAAAGTCGAATCGAACGATCGTGCTGTGTTCTACATAGAAGCAATATCGAAAGTATGTACATACACGCGTTTCCTTCCATTTAGAGAATGAACGAACACGGCTGGCGAGTAAAAAGAAAAAAGCGAACCGTGTAATAAAATTCTATGAAATCCTTTATTCTTCGCGCGATCTATCTCCGCAACCTGAAAGAACCGGAGAGATCTTTCAAAGTTCCGGTTCACCGGCGCCCTTTATCTTTTCAGAAGAAGAAAACGAAAAGGAAAGGAAGATTCTTTTGAAACTATGCTTTCAGAAATCCAACGGCGATTTTACCGCGACAAGTTCCAGTTAAACTTTCCGACTCGACTTCGATTATACTATTAGCCGACGGTAAGCCACGCAGGATTTATTTTATAAATTTTGTTATTTCCATTCCATGCTGCTGAAGCGGCAACACGGTAGTCGGTGTATTAAAATATAGACCTTCTCGTATAACTAGGACAAGAAATAAGACAAATGTGACAAGGGACGTATGATCGGATAGAAAAGAAATAAAAATAGAGATTGGATTTAAGAAATACAGGATGGTGTATCGGTAGGACGGGCGGAAGGAATTCCAAGACAGGAAGATTACTCTTCGAGGAAACTAGAACGCCGTGTAACGTTATTGCTCCCCCGACTGAAAACATACATTCTTTTTCGAGATATCATCCTCGGGGAATGTCGCTTTCGACGTACCGTTCTCTCCATTTTCAACCAAACGTTTTTGATCATGATTCCTAGAAACCGATAGAAAAATCACATCGAAGACAAATTTCACATTGTAGCGTTATCGGGGTATAAGTTTAAATCGGCCTTAATTCGGACCAAATATGTTCGCGACTAAAATTTCTGTTAACAATTAAGCGTTCGAATTACGGGATGTAGCGAGTATCAATTTTCAGTCGCAAAGTTCCAGCCTAAAAAATGATAAAAAACTTTTTCGTTCGTTTTTTATAAGCAGTGACAATGTGCCAGTTAACAATGCGTTTTCGCGTTGCATGTACTGGCTTTCGTAAACAAAACGTATTATAAAAACTGCGAATCACGATTCGCGAACAACGGATTAATAAACTTCTATTCAAAACCGCTGACGTTCGTACAAGCTGTACGGTTCCAACGCATCGATGTATAGGAATAATGTATAGGAATACTTAATAATTCAAGAAGCGAATAACGCGAACAAGAGCTGATAAATGACACCGCGATAAATTAGCGTTTCAAAGGTTCGCTGAAATAAAGGTGTAACGCTGAAGGGAAGCTGAATAACCTTTCGAAAGAAATTTCGAGTTGATTAACGAACAGAATTCTAATTAAGCGAGTTAACGGAATTACCATACAACCAGCCGCAATATCCCTAAGTAGGAAGCCGGTTCGTTAGCTACTTTGGAAGTAAGTCGCAGCTTCCGGTCGTCGAATTTACGAATAATATTCGTTCGATGTAAATTTGCAGCGCGGTTGAATGCGAAATATCCTTAGCCTCTCCTTTCCTTCGACGTTCAAAAGTTTCTTCTCGTCGAAGCAAAGGGACCGAAGACACGCGAACCCGATAAAAAAATGTGTCTTGTTCGAATTTCGCGGAAACTTCGTAAGCTTATTAAGCGGACGAAATATTTTGATCTGTCGAGTCGCAAGTTTGAGGAGTGGTCAAACACTGTCCGAAGAAAGCGTAGCGGATATGAGAAAACTTTCTAGCAAAAAGTTTGGGAAAGCAATTTGTCGCGATATTATCATTCTGCTTGGTCGTTATAGAGAAAAAGTATAAATTAATCGGAAATTTTTGTTTCCTTTTTGGAAGGGAACGTTCTAGTACTATGTAGTTCGAAATATTAGCTGCGTTTGAACGTAGCGGAATATTCGAAGCGACGAAAGTTGGTCGGCTAGGAATGTGGCACGGTACGGTGCGACAAGGCGAAGCGAATCGATGTAATTTCGCGTAGGCAGCAATCGTTGCTCGACGAAGATATTCCACGGGGTTTAACTCGCGCACCGTTCTCTCGCTAATTGCCTCGTAAATATTCCACTCTGTCTTTTCAGCCGACTTCCACGGCTACGGCGTAAACTTTCAAGTTGCCGTCACTCGATATTGCGATATACGTATATTAATTTCCTATGGAAATCCGACCGAGGTGTCGGTTGAAGCGGCAATAATTTTCAGATTAAAGGGATTCCGCGAAAACTGGTCAAACTATAATCGAAACGATCGCGAAACATCCAAGTAAACCACTATGCCTTTGCCTTTGCCTCTGCCTTTGCCTTTGCCTTTGATTTTACCTTCACCTTTACCCTTACCTCACCTTATCGTGCAATCATTTTAATTAATCGAGACCAAGGTGCGACGTCGGGTTCGCGCGTTCGGCTGAAAGAAAGGGAAACGGGAAATTGCAAAAGCATACGATGCATTCTCGCGTAAAATCCATACGTCGCGTCGCATCGCTCGAATATAAACGAATGTAATCCGTCAATTTTTAATAACGCGACCTAACCAGAAAATGAGAGCTTTCTTTTGCCATCGAGAAAATCTTCCTCGAGATCTCTATGTACATACGTATATTCGGACATCTTATGTACGTTATGAAATCGGACATACCTAACACGATACACGTGTCACAGCAGCAAATCTGGAAGCTTTGGAAATGGTTCGGCGATGATCGCGTTGCGGCTTATCAGAGAGGTAACACGCATTTCGGTAACAACTCTATCGATACCGTCATCTGTCAATGACATTGACACATGGGGTTGCGTTGTTCGAGGATTATTCGACGTTACACCATTAGGCAGCGTACTCCGTTACGGAATTACAAACCCTTCCCCACCCTCGAACTCACCTCCCGTGACACAGGATAATGAAATACCCATGCGTTCAAGGTGTCAAGAGAAAAACAAAATCCTCTGGTTCCATGTTTTTCAAATCGTTTGAGCACACACCGGCTTACCTGCACTTTATCAATGTTCATTATTTGGGATTAAAACTGTCGTCCAGCCGCTTCGGCGACTGAATACGTTTACCGCGTTAACCCTTTGAACAATGGATTTTTAGAGCACGGCCACTGACCACCAACAGCGACTCTTTTCGTATACTTGCATCTTTTACTTTGCAACGGGCTTACGAAAAGTTTCATGGGCTTTATTCAGGAATATTAGAAGTAACGATAATCGACTATCGCGATATTTGAAATTCGATACGTATTTACATACGAACCGTACCTCGAACGGTTAAAAAGTCCGCGAAGGGAAGAGTACGAGTGAAAATAAAGACGTTTCGTGAAACGGACGATCGGTTTAAGCAGAAATATCTTTGAAATTTCGCGGTGAGAATATTAATAGAATGGTGCGATCGACTCACCGTTCGCCTGAGGACAGTTCTAATGGTCTCGACTTCCTGTCTCGTTGGCCAACGCGTATAGACGACCCCGCTGAGCAGCAGGACAAAAACGGTGATCCAGATCGTCCATGTCAGGACGTTCCTCGTCCTGGCAAGAAGTTTCTGGGCGGTCCTCGTCGAGATCACTTCTTGCGGCGGTATCTCGAGCTTCTGCGCTTTCCTCAGTATATCCTGCAGTCGTCTCTTAGCCTGTTCCACATCCGGCACCCCCATTTTCTTTATTTTTATCGTACCTCCACCCCGTTCGTTGATCCGTGGCCCCTAGCTTTGACCTCGCAAGATCGAATCCTCGTCGGTGGCGCGCACCACGGCTCAAGATGGAGACATTAAGAGTAGCAGGCTCGTAAAGGCGTTCCGTACAGAATCATCCTCGTGGAAACGGCGAACCGTCGATTCCCTGGAAAATTTCACCCTCTCTCAGTTTCCTTCCTAATTCCCCCTCTATTGTTCTTTCCGACGTTTTCATCGACTACCGGTTCCAATTCAATTTCCTACGTCGATTTTCATCGTTTCGTTAGCTAGTTAACTCCGATCGGTTCTCAGATTGCTCGTGCTCCGGTTGTACTTTTTAAACTTTCTCGCCGATACACTCGGGTGCAAAGTTTCCGCGTTACGATCGAGATTACCGTCGTCGTCGATCCCGCGTTAACGGACGCGCGACTCGAAGGAACAACCGCGAGGGTATAAGGGAAACGAAAGAACGTAAAGTAGAGGTTAACCGAGCGATTCGACCTTAAACGAGTCGGTACTTAATGCCGTTCGAGAAAGTTGCTACCAGAGACCCCCCGCGCTTTGCTTCGTCCCTTTAATCGATTCTGAAATTATTCCCAGCGCACCGCGGTAATTACCTAATAATTCCAGGATCGATCCACCGACAGGAACGATGCAGCATACAGAAAGAGAGAGAGAGAGAAACGGAGGTAGCAGAGAAAGGGGAGAGACTCGAACACCCCCTAATTTCTAGACCCGCCAAAGTTCGACCCACTTTCGAACCAAGCTCGAATTACAAAAGGTTTACTCAGACGCGGCAACGTCTCGCTCCGACTAATTATTTTCTGCCAGATTTGACCTTCTTTTCTGCTTTTCGTAAATTCGCCTTTTACTCGTACAATTTCAAAGCCTCGTTACAATAATATTTTCAAATTAAATTGAAATATTAAATGCCATATGCCGAATCAAGTCTAAAATTGTTTCAACCAAGCTATCCGACATGTACAAAGGTGATCAGGATAAACTGTACTAATTTTTCCATTTAAAAAGGTAGCAGTAGTACGCGGCTCGACGATAATTAATTTCTTGGATAATTCTTTGAAAATGGCTGTCGAGATCTCGTACGCGCACGCTTAAATTTTCTTCGAGAAAGTTTCGTCGCCGTTCCCACCCGAATTATATTCGAGCATCGGAGCGGTAAGGAAAAAAAAATCTTTTGTGAATCTTTCAGAAAAGTTCCCTGCCCGACCAACTTCGCAGCGAAGAACGTTAAGGGGGAAGAACAGTTTATCTTCCTGGAAGAACTTTTCTCTTGTATGCCGAGGAAATACCCTTTCGATCAAACCACGCCAACGAACCGCAACAGCACGAGAGAAGCGGTCTTCTCCATCAAGATTCTCTTTCCCCTTTCTCCGACTCTCTCGCGCTCTCTACAAGAATTATATCTATCTTTATACCATTCTTAATCCAAGCGTTCTTCGTGAAACATTTTTCTTCTAGAGATTCATTGCTTCCCCGATGACCGATGAAATGAAATGTGGATTCTTAATGGAAGGCCGATGAAAGGGTTACCGTTAACGACGGCTACTCGATTCTCCATTTATTCGCGAGCTTCCCACCGATTCGATACCGTACAATCGCAAACTGCTTCGATAATTATTCACAGCTTTGAAGTACGGTCGAGTGATCTTCGATAAACGCGACGAAATAAATAGCGTATTTCCATCGTTTATTTTCGCTAAAAAAATAATCCGAACGTTTCACGCAACGAACGATAGTATAATTGCTTTCGATAAGTATTCCACAATTTTTACAAATTTTTACAAATTTTTTCAAAGACAAAAACGGTAGAGAAACTAACTTTCCACGCGAACCATTCGATTTATCGACGAAATTTGTACGCTTTTTACGCGTTTCCTACTCGAGCTCTCGTAGATATCTGACATTTTCAGCGGTAAAAAAGCAAATTTCCAGCTACGTTAAGCGTCGAATAATTGACGGAATCGCGAATAATTCTCGTAACATGAAAAAACAGCGCGATTGCGGTGCTGGGTACTATTCGAGCGTGTTCCTGCAATCGGCCGCGGTACTCGAACGGTTAAGAGGGCGGCTCGAAAGTGTATTCGAGCGATGCCAAGTGCCGTTACTCTCGCGAAATTATTCGCGACGATACCATTGGCGTTCGATTTCGAATACGAACAACGTTATCCGAATGGAAAGCCCTCGTTATGCTCGATGCGCGTTTCATACGAAACGTTTCGCGTTTGCGAACGCTTAACGTCCACGCGGGTACCAAAGCGACCTTCGATCGTTCGAACGAACGAATCGAATCGATTCAAAGGGATTCCGGCTTCGATTCGTTTCGACGAATTTAGCGAAGGTAAGCGAGGAAACTGGATACAAAAATGTCGATTCTTTGGTTTTTAATGTTACTCTATAATGATCTCACTGTCAAAAGAATCCGAGACGGAGATTCGATATTTTATCGTCAAGTTACAGGGGTTCATAAAAGGTTTACAGTTTACCGGTGGATACCGGGCATTCTTCAACGCGATACCGAAACGGTTAATTTACGATTCGAGCGCAAATAACGTCCCGCAAAATCTCGGTTCCCTTCGACGAATAAAGTTACATCGTGTTTCTCGAGATTCCTACGGAACACCTTTAGCGTTTACGCGTTGTAACTTGTTACGGAGCTCGACGCTTAGCCGCGAGCGTTCTCTTCGAACAAACCTTAGCGTTGTTTTCGTTGAAACATCAGAGAAGTACGTACTCTTCCCGGGTTTAAACTTGCCGGATTTCAAACATCATTTTCCATCGTAATTCAGCGAGCTTAAATAACGTTATCGAACAATGATATTCGAGAGCAAGGTACTTATGTAACGCTGTTCAATTTTTACCGAATTGTAGTAGGAATTTCTAAGTATCGGCTATTTCGCCGGATAAAACATAACGCGACAGCAAATCGACAAAAAAAATGAGAACATTAAATATTCTTGGGGACACCTGGAAGCTGCAAAGTGCCAAAGGATCTTCCGGCCATCGGAATAATCGAAATAAACGATCCGAGCGAAATGGAAAATTGACAGCGATTCGAATCACGATATTCTACAACGATTAAAACGAGCGAAAAGTTTCGAGCGATTGAAACTTTTTTAGAACTTACGATTATTGATGTACGACGTTCGCTGGACCCTGCACCCGGATGGTCCACGGTCGCAGGGTACGTCGCGTAATCGGTACCGGTAACCACCCTCGATGGAACGTAGGCCAACGATGGTTCACGGTATGGTTCACGTCGTCGCGCGTCTACGAAATCGTTGGTACGATCGAAACATCAACGGGACCATTTATCCTCGTAGATACTCTTCGGGAAGCGTAATCGCACCGCCTCTCGTAGCGAAACACTGTTGCTCGTAAACGCGAAGGGAAAGGACCGGTAACACGGTCAACGATAACACTTCACGCTGGAAAAAATATCACGAACCGTTCGAATCAACTTTTTGACGTCGCGCTGCGAACGTAAAAGTCATGAGGTGCGTCGCGTCGCGGCACGACACGGCGCGACGCAACAGAATAGGCGAAAACAAGGTCACGGATGAGAAGATCGATCGTAACCCGAGCGAATACGGGTGAGAACTGACCGGCCTCGACGAGGGTTGCTGTCCTTATAGATATAGGACAGACAGGTAACGCATGCGTAGAGGGTCGTCGCGCATGCACGATTCGCGGTCGTTCCACTGCGCTTTCACGCTGCGGACAGAGAGCATTCCGGGTTCCGACGGAAGAAAAGCTTTAAAGATCGAAGCTGATTGGTCGATCGTGAGAGGAAACGAGTCAGACGAGGACAGAAAGTCGGTCGTTCGGTCAGAAAGCGACAGTGGTAAGGCGTATGAAGCGGCTAAATGCCCAGGGAGTCGCGCAACATCCTGGATTATTCGTAGATTATATCAACGGCGCCGAATGAAAAACTAATTTACAGACGGTCGTTTAATTTCGATCGTCTCTCGCCCTTCGTCGCGTTTTATGCCTGGTCACGTCCGGCCCTCTGTTTCTCGATGTTTATCTAACCACAGAAATTTTTCTATCGTCACGCGTCACGATAACGTTGCGCGTAAGAGGATGAACGATACGAGATACAACGAATTATTTATTTCGATTATACATATAAACGTTCAATTTATGGGCAAGAAACTGAAATATAAAATAGAAAAATTATATACAATGATTACATGTATCGACTTAAGTAAACCTGTTTCAATAGTCAAAAACATTGTAACGGTGAAACTTTGATGAATAACTATTTATCAAAACTACAAGAGAATTACAGAACTTTTCTTACCCTGTTTAGTACGAGTTTAAATCTACATTCATCGATTCGTTTATTTTACAACTCTTTCGTCATAATTTTGATGGACGATAATATATTTATTTGCTCATTTCCTCTGATTGTCTGTGACAGATTTCACGTTCGAACGATTCATTTATTTGAACGTGGAATAAAGCGAAACATATAAAATATTCCCGATGGTCACGCGTCGTTTTCACCTGTTTTCATTTCCGTAAACGTTTATTCGCTCCTCGAGGAACTTGACGGGAAATCGATGAGAGTTAATAAGATTAAAAGACTTGGCGCTCGAAGCGAAGAAAAGCAATTAGCTCGTAGAATTTAAGGCAGCGTTACGTAGCGCGGCACCGATGCCATCGATAATAAACGGTGCAAATATTTTCAATCAAAAACTTTATCGTCTAAATATTGTTATTAAAGAGAATGCTCCGAAATGTTGAAAGGAACTTGTTTGGCCAAATATTCTTATTAAATACGCGTATGCTCATCGACGGCATAAAAGTTGAAGCGAAAAATCCGCTAACGGTTAACGTTACGCGAAGAACGGCGAAAGAACGGCGAAAGAACGGCGAAAGAACGGCGAAAGACAAACCGTACCGAAATAAGCGACATCGCGAAAGTTAATTTCCATTCCCGTCAAAAATTTACGTTCACGGCACCACTTTGCCAGGTCGTTAACCCGTGTCGCTATTGCTCTTTCTGATTCGTAATTTGGCTCCAATTATTTTTCTTTGATCCGATGAAGAGAGACAATCACAAAGATAAATCGAGGAAGTCAAACAAGGAAGAAATGCTACGTAGCCGATCGACCGTGAAGATAACGAGTCAGTTTAACGAATGAAATTGTTCCTTCTTGAAATTTTCTTAAATATGATAAATGAGACAAAGATCGCGACAGAGAAACGTCAAGTTACGAAAAACGAGCTTTCGAATGAAGAAATCAGGAATAACAAGACACAAAATTAAAGATTACGTGAAACGATATATAAAAAATATCGAGTTACCGTGTATCAAATAGTCGATTTGAACGCGTAAACTTTGAAACGTTTCGATGACATAAAGGTATCATAAATGGCAACATAAATTACGAACCATGTATTACGTTAATCGAAAAAAAATGACGAGCGAAGCGAGATCAAACGCGTAGATTAATAGGTGCACTTGCGAAAATAAAAAACAAATACATAACGAGTAATAAACGCTGCTGAAAAGAACAAGAACAACGGGAATACGAAGATACGGTAGCGTAGAATCTACAAAGACTCGGAGATCGTTATTCGAGATTCGCGCTAACGCAAAACATTAATGGAATAAAGAGAATTTCCCTGGTAAAATTTAAGCACGATACGAACGGTGAATTTATTCGATAACATCGAGACAGTCCCATTTGCAGAAGAGCAAATGGAAATCTTGAATGATCAGCGAAGGAAACGAAGGGAACGAGAAAAAGGATAAAATATGATTTTTTAGTAGATAATAAGATAGGGTAGATGGTATCGAATTTCCAATCGACAAGAGGGAAAGAAAAAGAAAAATGTTCTCGTATCGGACAGCAAAAGGGTAGAGGGTAGAAGGCGAATCTAGATATCGGGGCGCGAATTCTCCATGGGGCATACATAGATATTGCGTTAAGTCGGGCAAATCTGCAGAGAGGGATTCGAGGCATTGGAATCAAACGCTAAGTTAGTATCCGAGTTTCAATAGGAACGAGCGAAATTTGAAAAGGTAGGTAATCTGCGTGTCGCCGGAAGCGGACTAAGCGTAGGGTGTCGCGATGCGATCGAAATAGCGATACTTTCACGCGAAGAAATCGATCGAAAACGTAGAATAACATTTCCTCGAACAAATAAGTTGAATCCGTGAAACATTTTCTTTTTATCGCGCGTCCATCGATGCAAAGGAAAAAGTATTCTTCGAAACTTTTGACTTAGTTTCTAGCGCGTAACCGCCCTCGGCCGATTTATATCAGCAGTTACACCGGTCTCGCGATACGAACAAACAAAGATAAAGAATCGAGTACCGCGTACGAACGAATGTTTCGAGCAAGGAAAAAAAGTACATAACGCGAAACAGCGAAGCGAGAGGCAATACGGAAAATTGAATGGGGAAAGCTGAAACCAAAGCGAGATAACGATCACGCTCGGAGAAGCTGCAATTAACGAAGCATCGTTGACCTGGAAAAAAATTGCTGAAAAGGGAAAACAAAGGGAAGCAAGAGGGAGTTGAACGGTGACATTGCTGGCAGCGTAAGTGTTCCGCGATTAAAAGTTTTACCGCGATGAAAGTGAAACGGCGAGAACGCGGGACAGACTAGAATCTCGACAGAGATCGACGTTTGAATACCGTGTGGTCGTTTGTCAGGGAATCGCGAAGCTTCCCACGGGGCATAAGCTACCTCGCTATGCCCTCTGGACTCTAGACGAACCCGTATTACCTAAAAGGATCGCGCTTCGAAAACCTTTAGGTTAGCTCGTCGCAAACCGCCTGGGCTCATTCGTCATCCTCGAGAAACATTCTCCGGTATACCCTCGTGATTTCTCTGTTAGCCTCGTTAAATGATTTGTAATTTCGTAGTTTCAATGTTTTCGCGAATGGTATGGGCAAGATACGCTGCTAAAGTTTGCGGAAACCTCGGACAGAAGTCGAAATCTCAGCTGTGGGAATTCGTACGTTTCGAAGATGCAGATTAATGCGAATTAAAGCATGGCAATAGGAACGCGACGCGGGCCGATACGATACGCGATGCACGAAACATGCGCTAGATATATTTTAAAGAGGATCCTCGAAGCGAAGAACAGGAAGCTTAATTGCGAGCAATCGCGTGACTAGTGACGAAAATTTACGTCGCGAGGATAATGAAGGAAGAAGAATCGCGTTTCATCATTGCGAAATTGGCTTAAGGCGGAGATCTCGGCGGCGATACGTCAAGATTTAATTGCCAGCTCGTCGGGCTTGTCGTCGTATTAGCCTCTTCGCCGCCTCCTAATTTCAATTATTATCCCATTCGTTATTACTCGCGTACCGCCTCTTTTCGGCTCTTCGTACATGTGCCGAAATAAATCTTGTCCTCCGTTTATCGTCCATTTATTTCCTTCTCGCTTCCTCTCGTCTCTGTTTCGTAACGCGAGATATACCTATAGGATTTATTATAATTATAAATTAGCCCTATAAATTGAGAAGGAATAATCGCGATTTCAAAGTTGAAGAGGATAGGCCAAGATAAAATCGCGATCGCGTGTATCGTAACGAGAATCGCCGAAAAGGAAAACCGAATGAAAAGAAGTCGCAACGATTGTCGGAACAAGCTGCAGTCGCTAAAATAGATAAGAAGAGGCGACAAAAGCGACGATCCGAGCTAGATGAGGATAATATACCTAGATGGTAGTCGAGTTGCTCTATGAATGTTTAAAATGCTACGCTACGCAACCGGAGAATATCTGTAGAAAGAAAAGGGACACGCGAAAGAGGGAATAGAAAGCCGAGGATCGAGGATAATAACCAGGTGACGGGAGACGGCCAACAAATAAAGGAAACGCGATCATCTTTTTCGCTGAAAATGAAAGTCGCGCGAAGAGATCTTTTGTACCGTAATAGCTGCGTCAAAGAACAGGATGGCAGCCGCTGTTTAAAAGGTACCGTGACGAATGTGGTCTAGGAAACGTTGAATCCATGCAATTTCGCAAATTGATGTTCCCGGTAAAATATCTAAACCCTATCTTTCGATATTACGAAAGTGTATTTTCCTGTTTTCGAGTCAGCGTTCTGGACGCGAAACTTTTTTCGTTCTTTACAGAGAATTTATTAGCTATACGTATTTGGAAGGATAACGTTTCGAATCGACGCGATAACATCGTTCCAACGATTCGCTAAAATTCGAACATAAACGAATATCGATGCAATTTTTCTAGCTTTACGTTAACGCGTCTTTGTTCCATGAATTTTAATCGTACGTTTCCATCGAATATATCACGGTCAAACACTGTCGGTCCGCCTACAGACTCGAAACATTCGTGTATTCGAACGTTCCTCCCCCGAGCGAGGTCGAAGCTCTTCTTTTTTCCCCCGCTTCTCGGCAGTTTTCGCGTACAAGAGGTTGGAACACTTTATTCCGCAGTACAAATTTGCTCGCCGGAAGAATTGAATACTTGATTTCCAATTCCTCGCGTAATGGCGGCGTATCGTTGAAAGCATTACAGCCAGCCAGAGTTTTAAAGGCGCCTTCCTACCTTTTTTTCAACGGTTCAATCTCTTCGTTAATTCCCCGTGGGCAGTCTTTCGACCGGTGTGTTTGCATTTATCGTCGAAGGAACCGGCTTGGATCAATACGATGCATATTATCGAATTCTTCCATTCGAGAATTGTCCCTCGAACTTCTCTAGCGAAACAACGTTGCTTCGATCCTATCGATCGTCTTGGCATTTTACGAGAATTTTCTCGAAACTGCGGTTTTTTTTTTTTAACGCCGCAAAAGAATTTTACGAACGGTCCTTGAAAGAAGGTTTCAACGGGTCCTTCGTCCTGTTTGATACGAGGTAAACGAATTTTGTCTCGAAAACTGGTCAAAGACCCTCCGTGTACAGGGATAACCAGCCGAATACAAA